CGAATGTGTCGGTGAGTGTGAGTGCGAATGTGTCGGTGAGTGCAAATGATTTATGTGTATATCGGTGGTGTTTCCTATTTTATTGTCGCTGCCAGAATCGTCTCTTAATGTCGGAGGGGAGGTGGCGTCAATGGGCCTGGTCGGCTCCGCTTCGTTTTGCGCGAGCTCTGCCGCTCGTCGCAATTTTTGATTTTGCCGGTGCCGCCGGTGCCGGCGGTTGGAACGCGAACTGCGGGGTTCCACTTAAACGGGAGGTTCTCTTAGCAAGTTATCATTTAGAGTGAAAATTGTGAACGAGGTTAACATTCGGAACTGATTTCTCATTCCGCCTACATCACGCTCGATCAAAGAAGAGTTGTTGAAAAAAAAGGAAAGGGAAAAGGGCTAATTCTCTCTCTCTCTGCCGGTTGCTATTCACGACCAGAGTCGCGAACTGCCCTCCCGGCAAGGGTGGGTAAGCGAGGAATTGACTTTTCGACTGGTTGCTATTCACGACTCAGAGTCGCGAACTGCTCTCCCGGCGAGGGTGAAGAATTGACTTCTCGATCGGTTGCTATTCACGACTTAGAGTCGCGAACTGCCCTCCCGGCGAGGGTGAGGAATTGACTTCTCGACTGGTTGCTATTCACGACTTAGAATCGCGAACTGCCCTCCCGGCGAGGGTGAGGAATTGATTTCTTGACCGGTTGCTATTCACGACTTAGAGTCGCGAACTGCCCTCCCGGCGAGGGTGGTCAAATGAGGAATTGCCTCTTCGACCGGTTGCTATTCACGACTTAGAGTCGCGAACTGCCCTCCCGGCGAGGGTGGTTAAGTGAGGGACTGACTGCGGAGAACGAAAATAATATACTCTCGCGATGCTTCTAAGCAGTTATGCGTCTCTGAGGTTCCGAGTATTAACCTCGAGGCGGATTTTTACTAGTGGAACTCCCGATTAAAAATTGTGGGTGGACTTACTACTTGCTGTTTCTTGTGGCGTTGATTCTCGGTTAAAGCCGGTGCGGCACTGGAATAGCTCGGGGTTGCAGGTCGCTGGTGTTGATGCCTCTGTGATATCGCTCTCCGCACTCACTGGCACTCACTAATTTACTCACTGATCTGCGGCTCTTTTCGGATATGCGGCGCGGTTCTTTTCGGATATGCGGCGCAGTTCTTTTCGGATATNCGGCGCGGTTCTTTTTGAGTTTCCGATTCCGAGAGCCCTGGCTTATATACTGTTTTAGTAAGCGAGGACTCTTCCAATCGGGAACTCAGTTGAGCTTTGCTGGTTCCTATTTGTTAATTAGTCGGTCGGGCAACTTCCGAGATCGCCAATCGGCGACGATCTCTCGCTTCGGTCGCCTCGTCCGATTTTTCGGGGAAGGAAAAAGGGAGAATGTTGTCTCTTGCGATTACGCCGCATAGACCCCTTGTTGTTTGTTTGTAATAAAAATGCCGGAATTTCTATTTGCGCCGGTCGCTCTAATTTTTATGACCGGCATTTTCATGACCCAGAGATATCCGGGTTTGTTCGGAAAGCTGCTCAAATAGTTATCTAAAATTTCGTGTTATTGCTAGGCGCAGTTTATCTTTCCGGGCGCCGATATGGTTTTTGTTTGTTCTTCTATCGTCTGGAGTTTTAAGTTTCCAAACAATAGGAGACCAATTTAAATTATTTATTATTATTGACCAAAAAAGGGTTGCTATGCGCTGGCGCGTCGCGTCGCAGAAAAAAAGAGGACCGTGGAATCTCCAGGACGTAACACTATCAAACAGCCGTCCACAGTCAACCAATCAGAAATTGAGCTTGTTGGCACCTAAACATATATAGTTATATACATATATGTTCATGATATATGTGTATGTGCAAATAAGCTCAAAGTCTACTGCGCATTCGTCGGAATAGGACACCTTTCTTTTTACACCATAACAGAGAGAAATCTGAGAGCGGTCATCCTAATCAGTGTTGCATGGCGTAAAAAGAAAGGTGTCCCATTCCGACGGATGCGCAATAGACTTTGAGCTCATTTGCACATACACATANACCATGGACACGTATATAAGGCCTTGTTTATGCGGACAATAACCGTTAACTTATGCCGGAACAACTAAAGTTCAACCATAAAATTTCAATACTTCTGTTTATACGCATTTGGCAATTTTGTATAAACATAAGTATTTTAATCCTATAGTTCAACTTTACCGGTTTCGGCATAAGTTAACGGTTAGCCTGCATAAACCAGGCCTAACTATATATGTTTAAGTGCCAATGAGCTCAATTTCTGATAGGTTGACTGTGGATAACTGTTTGATGGATATCCGCCATTATGCGCAATGGCTCACCTTTCTTTTTACACCATGCAGTGTTGGAAAATAGAATGCACACGAGCAGTGGTGGGAGCACATGACGAGAGTTCCTTTTTTTATACTTAAGCTGCACTAGTTCATAGTCTATCTTTTTTTAACCATATTAAAAGGATAATGGGTGCGTTCAAACAACTCAACAGTTGCACAACGGTTAAAAAATAATTATTTATGATTGGATATTTGTGACACCGTAGCAATGTTTGAAGAATAATCCTATCACAAGTGATGATCCTCAACCGTTGAGTTTTCTGAATGTAACCAATCTCGCCTGTGATTGGCTTTTATTTTAATTTAAATCCATTACAGTCAATTTACTTAGCCGCTCAGTAAAGATCTTCACACATGAAATTACTTAAGACCGTAAGACATAGCCGTAAAGAAATTAACCAATCAACATGTATCCTATATGCCCACCACTTTTAGATGTAAATGTCTCATTGATCAATTTCCCTACGGCTACGTCTTACGTTTTTTTAAGTAATTTCATGTGTGAAAGCCATAAGCAGTCGTGCTACTGTTAAATTCGTTACAAGTCACTGACGAAATAGAAGCAAATTTAAAAATATTGAAGTGACACCTTACGCACCAAAACATTTAATTTCAAGTAAGATTTTCGTATAAAATATTGATACTGTTTACATTATTACACATAATCAGTAACACGATTATGAAATAGATTAAGAACGTATATTTTGCTTTATAACATCTAGCGTAGACTGTCATTATTTTATTTAGTTTTATTTCTTCTGTACGTGATTTTTATTATGTGTGTGACTGTAATTGTGTATCTTTTATTATTTCTTTCTTTTTTATAAATCTAATATAGTTTGTATTGCAAAATATTGTACCAGTGATCTTAACTTTATATAGAAAAATACTTTAATATTTCTGTTATATCTCTTTAGATGGAAATAATAGAAGGGAACCAACCTAGATCTATAATGTATGTCTACAATGGTAACACATATAATACGGATAAGAGATATTCATATTTATATCGTTGCTCTAAGCGCAAAACTGAAAAATACTCGGGACTTTTACGACAGGAAAAAGAATCATATATTGTGGAACGTTTACACTATAATTCAGATGAGCCGTACATTGATCAGATTTTTAATATAAAAAAGGAAATGATTCGTTTAACTGTAGAAACAACAAAACCTTTAAAAGAAATATTCGATACAGTCTGTCGCAGTAACCCAACAGCTGCAGCATATATTTTATACAACAGCATGAAATCTGTACTTAGCCGCCAAAGAATCAAATCTCGTCCAGCTGTTCCCAATAATTTACGATCTCTACACGACATGTTAGAAACATAGGAACCTACGCGCAGTATTTACAAAGGTTGTGCAATATCATCCAATAATAAAATTGCACTTATATTTATCAGCGACATATTATTAAGCTTCTTATCTGAAGCATGTGAAATATTTGTGGATGGGACTATTTCTGTAAGTATCTTTTTTAAATATTTAAATTAATTGTGTGTGTAATACAGGGATAAAAGTATACAAAATGGTATCATCATCTGATAGCCTTTATTTTCACATGTTATCAAAGTTAGGAGTAACAAACAAAGAGTTAAGCTTATGCTGATTATTTTTTAAAAAGTTAGTAACAAAGAGTTTTATAAATAAAGCTTTGTTTATCGACACTGTATATATTATACGCATAATAAATGATATTTAATGCAGAATATGTTGTATAAACAACTATTTTAGTTTGGAAAGTATATGCTTAGTGTGCTTTTTGTGAATAGCGTTGTAATACACAATGAGCACCGACGAAACTCTTTCGTTTGTTACTTAGGATCATGATCTTTGTAACATATGAAAGTGAAGGTTATCAGAAGCTGATCATCTTTTATATATTTTTATCATACACACACGCGCGCCCGCGCACACATACATACATACATACACACATATGTGTACAAATATTTTCTAAATTGTACCAAAAAAATTAAATATGTCCCAACTGTACAGTGTACATGTTCGCCATGCAGATACGGTATGTAATGTTAATTTTTTATTTATTACAATATTTAATAATTCATTTACTATATACGTAAGTTTTATGAAGATTAAATCATTTTATTTAGTGTATAGCAACAATTTTTGTGTTATATGAAGTACGATCGGCCTCTCTTTATAAAACTATGTGGGAGAAAATTGTTTCGCTTGCNCCTGATCTGCAACGTAATTTAAAAGTTATTATGTCAGATTATGAAAAAGCTGCATTATCTGCATTAAGCCAACAGTTTCCAACAGTTTCCACTTATGATTGGTGGTTTCATTATACACAAGTATATTTAATTTAAAGTTTTATACAAATATTTTTAATAGATTTCAAATAGTAACAACAAATGTACTTTTTCAGGCTATTCTTAGAAAATGGCGNAAGCTACAACTAAATAGTGCACCTCATGATCTATTGTCTATGGCTATGTCTATGGCATTAGCACCGAGTAACTTATTTGATGATTCATTAAATATTATGCAAACTCTTGCTGATCGCATGTCTACGACTTATCCAAAAGTATTGTTATTTATAACATATATGCGTAGCACATGGCTACTTTTAGCATCTAAAGTATCCGTTCATAACTGTCGTGTTTGTACAAATAATGTAGTGGAAAATTTTTCACCATGTTACTTAAAAAATAGGCACAGTCAATCCAAATTTATGGATATTTTTAGGTAAAAATGTTTTAAACTAAGTATAAAGAGTTGATACGAGCCGATGTATTCGCATATGTATATATACACAGTTTGTCCGGAAAGTTCCCGGACTACGTGAATTAAAAATCGAAAATGAAAGATATGGTTTATTAAACAAGTTTACACTTCAAGGT